CCCCCCTGCCCCCCCAAACCCCCCCAGCCCCCAAAACAAATATATTCTTACCGACTAAATCAGAAATGACAGTGAAATATATTAATAAAATAGTAAAAAATGAAATAAATTTTGTGCAACTTTATAATTGAGTCTTCTACATTTCACAGCTGTCGTTTTTTTAATATTTGGAAAAATTGTTAGAAAACTAATTAAGTTGGTGTTAATGAGTTATAGTCGTTAATGAACGTTTGGATATTTGTATTATTACAGTGGTTTCCAAACTGGGGGGGCTGTATTCCTTAACACTCACAGTTAAGTCAGATGGGGAGGGGTTGTGGGGGGGGGGGTGTCCAGCTGTACAGTAACGCTGTTCCACATGTCGCTGATTCGACAGAATGACTAAAACCCTCAGCTCTGAGTCGGTGCTCAGTGTTTGTCTCCGACGTCTTGTGTCTGTCGTACACAGTCACAGACGTCGGCCACTCACAGCTGAGAGCCGCGGCTGTGGAACATATTGTCAGAAATCAATCAACGGCCGGCTCTTTCATTTTTTACCCCGCACTCGTTTGTCGACAGCTGCTAAGAGAGATTAGCCGCGCACTCATTAGCTGCTGTTTGGATTGTAAACGTTAATGTAACATAAAACGGATGTCTTGGCACCGATACTGCTCCTGTACACAGAGGACGGAACAAAGTACTGCCCCCCCACCCCCCACCCCCGAGGGTAATTCATCACCACCTGGGTTCCTAAATGGTCCGAAGGGTCGGCTAATATTTTAACCACATCGTATTTAACTTCCTCCATTTTTTTTTTCTTCTTTCTCCAACAGACGACATATGTCATCAAAGAAATATATTTCACCTCTAGGTTCTGTTCAGTTGATACAGTATTTGATGCCGGGGGCCACAAATCTTTTTATTTATTTATTTATATATTTTTTTTTCTAACACACTTCCTGTCTTTAAACTGTTTTCAGACGTGAATTGGATTAGCCGTCAGGGTGACACGGGGGAGGCAGAGCGGGAGCCTGTGTGCAGTAACATGCTTCATTAGAGTGTGCTGCAAATCAAACACAATCATTTACACAGACTCTTATCAGCCAGAGGTCAGAGGCCTGGGGGGGGGGGTGGTCTGCTGTGTTTGACCCTCGTTTTACTGCCGATCTCTACATCGGCGCGGGCCGCTGTGCGAAACAGTGGAACCAAAACAGGATGAAACCGTGACACAGAAATACTTTGTGTTTAAATGACTGTATAATCCCTGCTTTCACAGTCGGCTTGAATCATAAATATATATTTTTACAGTTTTATTTTTCTGCCTATTTTATTAAATTAATATTGTTATAAATATTATTTTATAGTTATTATTATCTGTTATTCTATTGCATTTCAAATATGAATAAGCTCCGTAATGGTTTAAATCCATTATGTATTTTATAATAATAAATAATGTATTTTTTATAATAATAATGAAGATTATCAGATTAATTAACAGAGTTTTTGTGGATTTATCACATTTAAAGTAATCAAATAATCCAGAGAAAAGTCAGACTTTTTTTCTCCTGGCAGTGTGTGTAAATAACAGCATGTGTAGCAGAGCAGTGATTGGTGGAGGCATCACAAAAACATATTGATTGACAGTTACATTTTACCAGTCCTGTACATGACATCATCAACACTGTATACAGTCAATGTCACCAACCAATAACAATGAACCCAAAACCATGATGAGGGTTTTGACTTTTGACCTCTGAAGATGAAGTGAGAGAAACAACACTTTACCTTCGTTAATGTTCCCTCTTAACGAGACGAGTGTCCTTTAAAGACGCTTTAAGTGTTTTAATATTTTAACCTTACAATCAATGAGATGCCTTTGTGCAGGAGAGGAGATGAGAGGAGGGAGGAGAGGAGGGGGGTGAGGAGGGTTTACTTAGGTGATATATTCAGGACAAAGCTCGCTCTAATCCACATACACTCCAGCTCCGTCCCTCATGTGTGCCCTGCCCTTAAGAAGACAAACAATTGATATCCTTCACTCTCCTCTAGATCACCTCCTCCAACACATTATCATTCATCCTAGAGCGTGTACATGTGGGACGGCGTGTGTGTTTCTGTGTGTGTGTGCACTGAGTTAATTTTGTAATATATTCAGAAAAAATTATGTGCTACATAAAACATCTCTGTGTTGCACCACACATTTTAGCCCAGTAGGTGGCAGTGATGATGCAACAACATAACAACATCTCAAGACCCTACTATTTAGCAGAACAACAGTATGATAGTCCTGAGACCAGAGCTAACGTTAGCTACAACCGTCCTGATACAGAAACCAGAGCTAACGTTAGCTAAAACAGTCCTGGTACAGAAACCAGAGCTAACGTTAGCTAAAACAGTCCTGGTACAAAACCCAGAGCTAACGTTAGCTAAAACAGTCCTGGTACAAAAACCAGAGCTAACGTTAGCTAAAACAGTCCTGGTACAAAAACCAGAGCTAACGTTAGCTAAAACAGTCCTGGTACAAAGACCAGATCTAACGTTAGCTACAAAAGTCCTGGTACAGAGACCAGAGCTAATGTTAGCTACAACAGTACTGGTACAGACACCAGACCTAACGTTAGCTACAAAAGTCCTGGTACAGAGACCAGAGCTAATGTTAGCTACAACAGTCTACAACAGTAGACCAGACTTGTCTATTCATCAAATCAGTCGCCAAATGAATTTTAAAATAAATGTGATAATTACATCAGTACAAAGTATTAATTATAAAGCATCAAATTAGCGACCGACCGCTAACACACACATTTATACACACACAGTAGACGTACTCCTGACTCCGTACTGCCACGGATCACTGTGTGTTTACAGTGGAGGGATTCTTAGCTAAGCCCGATAATTTAACTGTTGTTGAGTTTAAGCAAAGGTGCTCCACACTTTCTATTCCGCAGCATCCACACTCAATATATGCTAAGCCTCATTCTCCTGGTGCGCATAATTCTGGCCGGCTCTTACCGAGCCCCGCAGACGCGAACACACAGCCCCGTCCTCCTTACCGCCTCTGCCAATAGCTGCCAAGGAAAATCAATATGTCAATGCACATTGCAAATGTTGGGTCTTGACTTTGCAAAGTAATGTCTGCTTGTCTCTGCAATTTTTGCTTTGTGCACAGGGAGAAGAAGAAAAAAAAAAAAAGATCTCCTCTCCCACGGATATCGGGTGATAAAAACGTAAGCAGCGCTGGTGTTTGTTGTGTTCCTGGTAAAAAGTAATGACAGAGATGTTTTTCTACAACATGTTTTTTCTTTTTTTTTTTTTTCCTCTGAAGTCTGACACCCAGAGTGATCGGGAAGAGACAGAGACATCGTGTCTGTAACTCTGTTCACAACCAAAAGTCTGGTTTCCAGGTATTTACTGTTAGCATTTTAGAGAGTGATGTGGGGGAGGTGTGTGTGTGTGTGTGTTGCAGGGCCCACAGACCTTTAACTCACTGTGAGATCAGTTGTACTGTGAAAAATCTATTCACACATGAGCCTGTCTCAGAGGGACACACACCCACACACACACTGTATGGGCAGCTGAATTAAACACACACACACACACACACACACTCACACACACCATCGCAGCAGTTGCTGGATTTTGTCCTTGAACCTCAGGGTAGAACCGATTCTACAGACTCTACGTGAACAAACACGACGTGGAGTGAAATTAACCAGCGGTTAAAGGCTGTTTCTCTGGTGTACTGCACAGACAAACGGTTCTCAACATAGGGGGCGTGTACCTCTGGTTGTACTTGGACTCCCTCTACTGGTACTCTGCATGTACTGTTTGTAGTACTGTTTCATTGTGTGTGTGTAGAGGGAGAGGGCACCACCCAGAGGGGTTTATGTGAATGGACATGATTGGATGCTGGCGTTAAGTTCTAGTGATGTGATTGGCTGCAGTGAGCTTTTACCATGAGCAGCACAGGAATCTAACCGGCAACAGTTGGCAGTTTATTGTTCACTCTCCAGCCCATAACTTTTTTTTTTTTTTCAATTTCCTGTTAGCTACCTTTGGAAACAACCGTTCACAGATTCAAACCCTCAACTCTTTTATCCAGACACAGGAAGTGCAGCATCATGGGTCAGGGGGACGGGTGAGTCACTGTTTTTGTTTTTTAAGCAAACATTTAAACCAATTTGATCAGAAAAACCTTTTCTGGAATGACTTGAATTCTTGATGCAGAGCCACCTGCTGGATAAAGTGTGTACAACATGCAACCGTCATTAAACTGTCGACGTCAATAACAGGTCAAATACAGAGGGCGCCCTGTTCTGCTGAAATCTCCTTAGTCTTTGCGGGAATCAGATTTCCCTATGTCCTGCTGGAGGTACCACCAGTAGCCGGTGCACCACAGTTTGAGAACCACTGTTATAACCACTGTATAAAGAGCTGCAGATCCACCTCCCACCCCCAGGTGTCACAGTCTCCTAATGATCGCTGGTTCAATAATCGGCTGCTCTGTCCTCTCCATAGTTTCTTCTCTTTTCTCTGTGTTATAATTATACAGTGTAAATATATATATATA